AGTATATATTCAAAAAATAATAATTGCTGAATGACTGGATTTGGAAATTTTTCACCTGTGAAAGCTGAATTCTAGCTTCAGACACAGCTTTAGCTACCCTTAAAATAGACTAATGATATGCAAACGTTAGAGAATATTTTCAGAATGATTTTTTTCATTCTGAATTTTGTCTCTAACAGTGGAGACAAGGTATATATTATGGAAGAGCTGGTAGTAACCCTAAGGGTCATCAGAGGAGACTAGATTTGTATCTACAAAATGTACATGTTTCTCCAGACATAGGATTAAAGTCCCTTCAGTCTGATTTGGGTCTCCTCTTTCTTTTCAATGCATTAACTTCTTTCCTCTGAGACCACATGACTCCTTACAGTCAAAATTCCAGGTTTATTTTCTTTCTGTTTATTTATCTTCTTTGAGGGAAATAGAAAGAAGATGAACAATCAGTTTATAAATATTGAGTAAACTGAATTTCACTCTTTGAAATTTTGTTGTGCAACTAGGAACAAAGGGTTATATTTGTTATAATGGTGATGAGGAAAAAAAATTGATGAGATGATAATTTAGAAATATTAAACAACATTGCTTTATAAAATAATCTCATTTACCTAAAAATTAATGAAGAGGCTGCAGAAAAAAATAATGGTGACTTAGGAGAACCCAGCTTCCCCGTTCCCCCACAAAGATCAATGATTGGATAGCTGGCCACAAATAAAAAACAGCTCTGGGAGACCACTAGAGTCCACTTAGGAAGTTTTAGCAGCACAGTGGAAAAAACTGAAATAATCACACAGAGGAGAAGGAAGACAACTTCATTTTGCTTGCATCATCCTATCCCCAAGCCAGCTCTCTTCAGTGCCAAGGAGTTTACCAGGTACAAAGAGTTTCTCTCACCAAGAAAGGAAGAACAGAGTGAGCAACCACCTTTTCCAGCCTCTTGGGGGCACTGCATGAAGATCTTGCTTAGGTTTCATCGCACCCAGTCTGGCAAAGCTGAGATGTATAGAGCTGGCTAGGAACAAGGAAGAAAAACACAGATTAGCAGACATGCAGCAGGAGTGACTGTTCATAGAGACCTGGATTAAAGACTTAAACATAAGACCTGAACCTGAAAACTCCTAGGACGAAACATAGGGAAAAACCTTCTTGACATTGATCTTTGTAGTGATATCCTGGATATGAAAAGTACAAGCAACAAAATAAAAAATAAACAAGTGAGACTGCACCAAACTGAAAGCACAGTAAAAGAAACAATCAGCAAAAAGTAAAGGCAACCTATGGGATGGGAGAAAATATTTGCAAATCATATATCTGATAAAGGGCCAATATCCAAAATATATGAAGAACTCATATAACTCAATAGCAGGAAAAAAAAAAAACCTGATAAAAAACAGTCAGGCAACTCAGTAGACATTTTTCCAAAGGAGACACACACAAATGGCCAACAGGTACATGATAAAAGCCTCTACATACCAATCGTTAGGAAAATGCAAACCAAAACCACAATTAAATATCATCTCACACCTGTTAGCACGGCTATTATCAAAAAGACAAAAAATAGCAGGTATTGTTGAAGGTGTAGAGAAGAGGGAACTCTTGAGCACTCTTGGTGAGAATGTAAATTGGTATAGCTGCTGTAGAAAACAGTGTGGAGGTTCCTCAAAAAATTAAAAATAGAACTCCCATATGATCCAGCACTCCCACTTCTGGGTATATATCCAAAAGAAATGAAAACAAGATTTTGAAGAGATATCTGTGCCCCCATGTCCATTAGAGTATTATTCAACCTATTCAAGAACCAAATGTCCATCAACACATTTCATATATATATGAAAAACAGTATTATTCAGTGAGAAGTCCTGCCTTTTGCGACAACTCTGATGAGCCTTGAGGGCATTATACTAAATGAGATAAGTCAGACAGATAAAGACATATACCTTAAGATGTTACTTATATATGAAATCTAACAGAGAGTAGAAAAGTGGTTACCAGGAGCTAGGAGGTGGTGGAAATGGGGAGATATTAGTCAAAGGATACAAACTTTCAGTTATAAGATTAACAAATTCTGGGGTTCTAATGTACAGCATGATTGTAGCTAATAATACTGTATTATATACTTGAAAGTTGCTAAGAGAGTAGATCTTAATTGTTCTCACCACAAAAAAGAAATGGTAATTATGCGAGAGGCTGGAGGGCTTACAAATTAATGTTATGGTGGTAATCCTTTTGCAATATATGAACGTATCAAATTGACACACTGTACACCTTGAACTTTTACAATGTTATATGTCAATTATATCTCAGTAAATCTGGGAAAATAGAAATAAATAAACAAAGGAAGGAAGAAAGGAAGGAAGGCAGCAGGCAGGCTTTAGGGAGTATTTTGGAATCATTAATCAATTCCTTATGCCATCACATTGTTTTCTTGGAAATATAAAAATGACTAAGCAATATACTGACTTTTTATAGGGATGAAAGTAAAAATACATTACCTTGTTACTTTATTGTGAGGTCCAGTTTATTATTAGAAACATAAATAACTACAATTCACAATGGAACCTGCACTTAAACATGAAACAGGCTCTCACGTGATACTGTTAGTTGATTATGAACTGTTCAGCTTCCTTGAAGTATGAGAGGTCTCAGTTGGAACATTTTCCCGGTTTTTGTCACAGTGTTTTAATCCTGATATTTCAGTGATGTCGGTGGTTTCATTGAAACCTCATCAAGATGACTGCTAAAAATCTTATATTTGCTCTTTATACTAAAAGTCAACTCCAGAGAAAATTACAATATTCCCCTGCTCTACTTATGAGCAGTAAGACTTAGAAACTAACTTGAGTCAATATCATCCAATATAGGATTACAATTTAAGGTAGTATTTTAAGAGAGTGTCACATCTCATTTTTTGAGGAAGAAGTCACATGTGGAAATATTTACAGAGAAATATGTGAGAGCTGTTTTTAGTCTGGAATGGAAGGGTTCAGTGTCAGTCACCTTTACCTTCGATGCACCACTGCCAAAGCTGGGAACTAGTTTTCCTAGAATGTATGGTGTTAGGTTAGGGTTTGTTAATGAGAAGAGATTAGTTGAAACTTAGAAGCCATTACTCTCGGGAGCCAAGACATCACAGCTAAGGCGCCCTCCAACAAACTCCCTCTTTGTGCTAGTGGCAAACAAATGTAGCAGCTTCTTCGCCATCTGCATAAGCTCTGCAGTTCTCTACCTGCTCTAGTTTGAAGTCATTAGTAACAATTTCTCTACTTCTTTGACCACAGACTTTCTGTCCAACATGTACTTCTACATTTGTTTAAGCTCACATTCCTTTTTTTTTTTTTTTTCCCCAGATGTCCTGCATTTTATTAGCTGTGTGATTTTCAGCAGACTCTTAACTGCTCTGGTTCTAGTTCCTCACCTATAATACAGCATGCCTGTCAAAAATTAAAGTTTAAATGAAAAAATATCTATTGTGCATTATAGACTAGAAGTCATTTTACAAGCATAACCAATTATTATCACATCAAGTCCAAATCTCTCTACCATTTTTCAAAGCCCTCTAAAACTTGACCTCATGCTCTTCATCCAGCATTATTTTTTTTTTTTTAACATCTTTATTGGAGTATAACTGCTTTACAGTGTTGTGTTAGTTTCTGCTGTATAACAAAGTGAATCAGCTATACATATATATATATACATATATATATATATATATATCCCCATATCCCCTCCCTCTTGAGTCTCCCTCCCACCCTACCTATCCCACCCGGTTAGGTGGTCACACAGCGCCGAGCTGATCTCCCTGTGTGATGCAGCTGCTTCCCACTATTAAGCTCACATTCCTTCATTAAACTGTTCCCTGAAAAACTGTAGTGTCTCTATCTCCTTGGGTACACCAAGATTAATAAAATTTTTGGCACCAGAAGTACTTCACGGGGGTCAGACTTAAGGATGGGAATCCGACATTCATTCTCTGATCTAACTAGATTTAAAGGTATTGATGATCTCACTGCCAGTGGTAATTAGGACGCAGTGAAGGGCAGTATTTAAAAATATACATTTGAGATACCATAAGATCTTTGAGTTCCAGGGTTTAAGGATGTAGGAATGCTGGAGTCGAATTTTGTTTGCGAACTGTTTTCTCACCCCTAACTAGGTCACCTGTGAAGGTCCAGTGACCAGTCAGTCCCTTCAGCAGAGCTTTGAGGGATATATTATGAGTATATATCTTTTCCCTAGAGCTGCCGTAACAAATTACCACAAACATCGTGGCTTAAAACAACAGAAGTTTATTCTTTTACAGTTTGGGAGGCTAAAAACCTAAAATTAATCTGTCAGCATGGCCCTGCTCTCTCTGAAGTCTCTAGGAAAGAATCCTTCCTCGCTTCTAGTTTCTGATGGTTACTGTCAGTTCTTGGCATTCCTGGTTTCTTTAGCAGCTGAACGTCAATCTGTCTCTGTCTTCACATTACCTTCTCCCCTGTTTCCTCTGTGTCTCTGTATTTCTAAATCTTTCTCTCTTTATTAAAGACTATCAGTCATTAGATTCAGGGCTCACTCTAATCCAGTACGACTTCATCTTAACTTGACATTATCTGTGAAAGCTTTATTTCCAAATAAGTCACATTCACAGGTACCAGGGGTTAGATCTTCAACCTGCTTTTGATGGACAAAAGTTAACCCATACAGTGAAGGAAGCAACAGTATTTTTTTTTTTTTTTTTTTTTTAGCAGTACGCGGGCCTCTCACTGCCGTGGCCTCTCCCGTTGCGGAGCACAGGCTCCGGACGTGCAGGCTCAGCGGCCATGGCTCACGGACCCAGCCACTCCGCGGCATGTGGGACCCTCCCGACCCGGGGCACGAACCCGTGTCCCATGCATTGGCAGGCGGACTCTCAACCACTGTGCCACCAGGGAAGCCCAGCAACAGTATTTTTGAAAGTTACGGTTGGGGCTAGAGGCTGTTCTCTGCAAGCAAAGAATGACAGTGGAAGGTGGTGCTATTACAATGGGGCTGCTGAGTTTAATGAGGTGGTAGAATCCTATAGTGGCAGGGCCACGTGGTGGAACTTAATTACCAAACCTGGGTATGGTTAGCATAATACGCAGCAGGACCAGAATTGTAAATACTAAGAATGGTTTGGCCCTCAGAGATCTTCGGCAGTCTTTGCCAGTATATCATGATATCCTCAGGATTGAAATAGATGGCTAGCTGTCTTAATGTTTACTAGATTTATATAAACAAAAAGGTTTGACATTATTCATGGCCCCTCACACAGCTCCCAGATCTGAGCTAGTTCACAGGCCCAAAAATCCTTAAAAGAAGGAAAGTCTAGGTGTTTATGAAGGATTTTCTTACAGTAACACACCCATGATTATGCTAATACTTGTAGTGGTTTTGTGTTCCTCAACAATAACAAATTGATAAAGGCTTTGAACTCTGAACTTTGAGGAGTTAAAATCAAAATAGTAGTTTTTTGGAAGAAGTTGAATGAGTCATCAGAGCAGACTTAAATAAAAAATAAGCAAGCAAATAATGACTAATGTTGTGGATTGAATAGTGTGCCCCCAAATCACATTCACCCAGAACCTCAGAATGTGAACTTATTTGGAAATAGAGTCCTTGCAGATGTTAATAGTTAAGGATCTCAAGATGAATTCATCCTGGGTCTGGGGCGAGTCCCAAGTCTAATGACTGGTGTCCTTATAAGAAGAGGAGGGGATACAGAGACTCACAGAGAAGATGAAGATGATTGGAGTGATGCAGCTACAAACCCAGGAGTACTAAGGACTGCTGGGAGCCAAAAGAAGATAAGGAGAAACAAGGAAGGATTCTTCCCTAGGGCCTTCAAAGGGAACTGGCTCTGCTGATACCTTGATTTCAGGCTTCCAGCATCTAGAATTGTGAGAGAATAAATTACTGTTGTTTTAGCTAATTTTGGGTAATTTGATACAGCAGCCTTAGGAAATTAGTATGACTAGTTTGAAACAAAGCTTGTGTTGAGAGTTTAGCTAAGCCACTCCATGGTGTTGTTGCTTTGGCATTCATTTTGTTTGGTCAAGTGACCTGCAGGGACCTTAAACTGACACTAGCCCCCTCATGCGAGCTCATGCCCTAGATAGCAGCTGCAGAGTCACAAGCAAATGTAAGTTCCTGACGTAACTTCCGCAACAGCCCTTGTGATCCACAGTCTCCCCTGCCTCCCAGCACCTGGATGCCTTATGCTTTCCTTAGATAAGACCCCCATGGGGTTGCCAAAACGCTGCTCTTTTGATTTGAATTGACCAAGCTGGCCCTACCTTTGAACCCCAAAGCATTCTACTCACACACCCTAACAAAAGCATGTGCCCCACCCAGTTCCTGTCTGTCTCTGTCTGCACTCTGCCTTGACCTCCTCTTGTGGCCCTTTGAGGCATGCTGTGTCCTCCAGGACCTATGAGTAATAAACTCACCTATTTCAAATTTTTTTTTTTTGTGGTCTGTTGTTGAACCACAACAGCACCCTGAGCTCCACTTAGCAAACGTTCATTTAACAAGGTCCTGACAGCTTGTTAGGAAGGTTTTCATACCAGTATTTTCCTCTTCCGTTTCCTCTTGCATCCTGCAGCATAGAGAATGTGATAAATATTTGGTGGCTTGAATCCTAGAATTTTTATATTGTGAAAATAATTGGCTACATTCTATACAATCAAAATTTATCCTATCTTCAGTATGTATTATACAAAGGATTTTGAAAAAGAAAAAAAATTCATATTTCATTGCACCAGTATACAATATACCATGGACCAAAGAATATCGACTAAAACAGGCACTGGCAAAGTATAAACTGGGGGTCAAATTCAGTCACGTGCCTATATTTTGTAGGTAAAGTTTGTTGGAACACAGTCATACCTGTTCTTTTATATTGTCTGTGGCTGCTTTCACATTATAATGACAAAGCTGAAGAGCTGCAACGGAGACTATATGGCCCACAAATCTGAAATCATTTATTCTGTGTCTCTTTATAGAAAAACATGTTCAACCCCTGCATTAAGATACAATTGGATATAATAAAACATCTCATTATACATGGCCTGCATATACAATAACATATGTGCTAGTGTTGCACCATTTTTAAAATCAAAACGTCTCTATCGTGGTTTTCTTTTTTCGTTTTCAAGAGATTGCAAATTTGCCTTTGGAATTGATTTTTCATTGTCCCACAATCTTCATCTAATTACTGTGGTTCACATAGTCGTTGTAGATAAATGTTTGTTGAATACTTATTGAGTTCATTCATTTAATCAGAAATTTGTCAGCTGTAATATATGGTTGAAATGTTAGTATTAATTATATACTGACATGTTAAGTATAGGTTTGCAATTTTACCATTAACACCAGGATAAGCATATTAATTGCAAAGATTCTTGATGAATCTGTTGACAGAAATGTGAGGATAGACACTGTAAGTCAAGATGAGTCTTGTTGATGCCAGGAAAGGTGAAATCAAAGACACTAGCTTACTTATGAACAGGGATTTGAGGCTGAGAACTATGGGAAAAGTGGGAGAAAGCACATCTCTGGACACCTGGGATCTTTTCTTGAAAGAGAAATAAAAGAAGCTATCACACAGAGCAAGATATCCAAGGGACAAAACTGAGAGGAATTGGGGTGAAATACTACAAATGAGAAAAGTTTTCAATAAAAAGCAGATGAAATGAAATTAAAAGCTCTAGTTAGGAAAATAGAGACAAGCATGGGTTGACTCTGTGCCATATTTCTAGTCTAGAACAAACAGGCTGAACTTAGGATGCTTTTCTTTCTTTGTTTTTTATTTGTTTTTAAATACAAATGTATTGATTCTAAATCTTTGGAAGTGAGATTTGGGATTTGTAATTTAAGAGACAACAGTAACTTTCATAATCATGCAGGTTTGAGAATCACTAACTCAGGTAGGAAAGAGTTAATATTCTATCACAAATATTTGGGATTTGGTACCAGGCCACTCTTGTGCTGAGTCTGACATTCTCATGGCGAGTCCAATTCTAACAACTCTTCTTCTCTTATATTTTCCTTGGTTTGAATTCCTGTCTTAGTAATTCATTTAATACTTAGTCCACATGTGGATCTTTGCTTTGCTTTTGTCTTTTGTTTTTTCTCCTCATAAACTTTGCCATTTCTAGATACCAATATGGTAGCATGGCCACTGCTGGCTGCAGATAAACTTCTCTGATAGGGGCTGCTGGCATGTGTTTCTGGGTAACTTCTGTCCTTCGGTTTCCCCGTTTTCAAACTACTCCTTTTTGCTAATTATTTCTGCTTGCCATGCCCTTTAGGTTGTGTTTCCTACAAATGGCTCATCCTCCCCAGAATATCCACAAATAAGTCTGGGTCCCTTGCAAAATAAATTTATAGAATCTCCCATGACAACTACCAAATCCATCCCTTTCTCCCCTTTTTCTAAAGCATTGATCCGAAATTTGTTAGTGTTCTATGTGGAATTATAATTAATTTCAATTGAAAAAATATTGATTATGCAAATACCACTAATTAATGTAGCTCTAAGTGTGTCATATATTTTGATAGAAGCATAAACAAAGTCATGAAAGAGCGATTATTTTTGACTGACAATAGAAAGTGACATTTGACCTGGTCCTTTGGGAATATCAACAATAACAATAACAAAAGTTTCAGGAAGGAGCTTTCGAATCAGGTGGTAGAAAGACCAATATGAAGTTAATATAAAAGTCACAAAAGTCCATGGCATGTTTATGAACAAGTCGACAAGTAAGATGTAACGGTAGAGATGAAAGAGGAAAAAGTAGGTTGGAAGCCAGAAAATAAATTTAAAAGTGCTTAAAGCACTGTAGACAGCCAGCAACATATTTTGTTTTGGGAAATGCCATCATCATGTTCTTATTTTAGAAGATGGCTAGAAAACAAAAGATAGTTTTGAGTATTATTGTACTCAGTTAGCTCTCTCCCTCATCTTGGCTTATTCCATTTTTGTTTTCTAAGTATTCATGCCTTCCCCTTAGCTTAACAGTTAATGGCCTAAATTCATTTACTGATCTCACGCTCGTATTCCAAAATTTTCTAATTGATTTCTGGATTTTGCATTAGGCTCAGAAATAAGAGTTTTGAGAGCTATGTATCTGAAATTTCATATTGTAATTATTCTGGTGTATGTTCTTCATCAATCTATTGATTGTTCTGTAGCTGGTTCTTTTCTAATCATTACAATCTTGATTTGAGATAATTCAATCAGGGCAGTTACTGGCTCACGAGTAATCTCGGAAGGGGACAACAGAGTATAGCATCTGAGGGGAATTTGACTGTTGCACATCCAAAGCGCTGTTCTCTAATTTGTTCGCATGCAACTTACTACATTCTTTACTCACCTCAAGAGGTGCATTTCCCTTCACTTTTAGAGTAAACAGGATGTCACCATGACTCATATTCTTGTCACTTGCGTCACAAACTTCCGACCCAGAGTTATCTTTTTCAGTTGATTCTGATCCATGGCAGGGCCCTCCACTTATCCCCTTTTCATCTAGATCTGCTTCCAGTGCCAGTCAGCAGGGTAAGTATGAATAGTATAGGGGAGTTTCCCACTTTCCCATGACCTGCCCAAGCCTTGTCATTTCGTCAGCTCAAGCATCATTAGGCTTTTTTAGACCTTGTCACATAATGCTAGAAAAATCTGAAAATTGCTAAGGATCTGGAGAAGAATGTATTAAAGTATGTCAGTGTTCTCCAGTTTGATTCAGATTTCATTGTTTTTGTCAAATGCTCTATTTATGGTCTGTGGATGTGGCCATTTGAAAATTTTGATCAGATTGTTTCCCTTTTGTTGCATTTTTTAGATTTCTGATTATAGGTCTCAGAAAGAGGAAGAGTAAAAATGCTCGTTCCATAATCTTTTAGTGGAACTCTAAGCTAGGTTTATCATCACTCATTTTTATGTTATTCTTCATATATTAGAACGGATATTGTAATACTCAAATATTAAAGAATTCTTAGCATTTTAAAAT